CTGAAGGTAGTTCATCAGGTCTTCAATTGGAAAACTGGTGACGAGGCCATACAGAGTAAAAACAACTTTCTTATGAAATACAGGCATCAGTCATGAAGTTTGTAGGAAAAAAAACAGCTGGACAAGAATGTGTTGTACATCATGAAATGTTTCTGCAATAACCAACCAAAAAACCAACCCAAGGCTCAGAGGAAAAGTTGTCTTTACAAGTATGAGCTAAACAAACATTTTCACTAACATAAAAACCCCAGGAGTTAATGCTGCACAAAGGCATATTGCTGCACAACATTAGACAGCAAACTGATCCTTCACTGTAGACTTCCAAGTCTCTTTTGACTGCCTTCACCAAGAAGACCTATTTACATCAGTTTTACAGTCTATACAGACTAGAATTTTTAACCTAGCTCTATCGACTGGAACAATTACCGTATATTTACAGCATTAAGTAGTATCCCTTATTTTCTCAGAAGTTGTCACTGGAAGCCTAACCACTCTTCCTTTTATGAAAACTAATTTTATTTCCAAAAATACCTGGAAATAAAGAGCTTGCATTTGTCAGCAGGGAACATAAGCAGTGGATTTTTAAAAAAAAAAAAAATCTTATAAAAGTAGGGATAGACATTTTACACCGAATCCTGGTAAAGATTAAATAAGAATGTGTCTCAGAATTTATTTAGGCTCAGTACTCTATTCCACCGCACAGCTTTTCACTTCTGTGGCATTTTATCTTTGCATAGATATCGGCTGGACACAGCTGTCTCCTCCATGGTTGTCCATCTGAGGCACAGTCAGGCGAGTTGAGTCACCCAGTAGTTAATTCAGGCCAGAAAAGCCAGATCAACAGCTAAACTGGGAACACATCAGTAACTGTTGTCTGCCAGGGTAAAAGGGTAAGCAGCAAGGTGAGTTCACCTGACAGCTACCTTGGGAGCAGCAGACCTTTAACATTTATGAAGCAAGCACCGGTTTTCAATCCTTTTGGGCTGCCACCACTGTTCGAATTAAAGGAGAAGGAAAATGATGAGGATCACAGTGAAACAATAGCAGATCTGGTATTAAATTAAAAAATGAGTGCTCAGGAGAAGAACCAGTGCATGGCAGATAAAAATATGTCCTTTATCAAGTACAGCTAAAACAAAACAAAACTAACACAGTGCATCACCTACAGACAAGAAAAAAACAAAACCAACACAATTTCTACATGTAAACAAAAGCATTTGTCCATGAACACCAATACCTGCTTCTAGATCCTACATAAGTTCCCAACCCTCTTAAGGAAGGTATGCAGTATGCAGAATGATGCTGCATTTCCCCACAGCGTGTTCTCTACTCCACCCTTAAAAAAAATATGCTCACACACATATGTATGCGCTCTTCACGCAGCTGATAGCTACAGAACAGCCTGGAAGACCTAATTTCAACCAATGCAGCCAGAAGGTATTATGGAAATAGAGCGATAATAAAATTGGTAACCTTTTTTTTTTTTTAATTGTTTCAAGCTAACTGTAGTTCATGAAATATTAATAGGAGTGATGCTCAATAATACATTAAAATTATAGCTCCACAAAACAACTGTCTTTCAAGGTTTCAAATTCAGAGCCATATTTGGCAATACATATAAGAAAAGCAGCAGTGGTGCAACAGCAACTGAAATTTAAGAGCATGTTACAACAATTATGCATATGCCCACCTTAGTTTTGCACAGCGCACTTGGGAAAAACAAAAAAAAATAGCACATCTTCAACTCCTCCCCTCAGCAGCATAGCCACTCCAGGAGGAAAGGGAATCTGATGCCTGCCTTCTGACCCACCTCATTTCCTCTCTATTTAAGGGCCTGCCAAGTTCCCAGGGAAAGGAA